CCTACACGACGCTCTTCCGATCTCCCCAAAACCCCAAAACCCCTTATGAAAACATTGGTGTATAAAAAATTATAAGATTGCAAATTAGGTAAATTAAATTTCATTTCAGATCTCTATATAGTATCAATATAATATCATTAAGGGGGTAAAAGAATCTCATTCTGTCCAGCATCTACTCTCATTCTTCCAATTTTTCCCAAATATCTCTAATTGTCAACTTTGTGGCATTCCTCAGTCATCCATCTTGTTGGGTAGAGCTAGAGAGTCATAATAACCAGTGTGAAAGTCTATAAAATGATCATCAAAGTATATGATAGCATCCAATGTGGATTTTAAACCAAAATTGCGATGAAAGTTCCCATAATGATTGTTAAAACATAGTGGAAAAATACTGATTTTCTCAAATGTCTAAACGGAAAGGTTAATATAATAAATGAAATTACAGATAGGTATCGTATAGTCTGTAGTAAGCTATAAGCTTTCCTTGATTAGTCTCTCTATCTTCAGCAATATGATTTCTGAGGTTAACTTAACAACTTAAGGCGTCCCTCATCGCCATTAAAAACGGAATAAATTTAAAGATTGGGAAAATGAGAGAAATTAGCATGTCATATCTAGTATCCACTAACTTAAATACTAACTGTAGGGCAGTCACTGCAAAACTAAATATAAACATAGCCACGTAGGCTCCGGCTCCTACACTGTAAGGAAGTTATGCTCTTAAAGCATATGCTGCAATATATAGAATTCCAATATCAATCATAGCTTATGACAGTGGAATCAAGAGGAAAGCTATGACACTTTTAGCCCTTGCACCTGCATCTTAATCTCTTATTGGTAATAGCGGGCACTCACTCGATAGTATAAGCAAGGCTATTGTCTGTATAATGTGGAAAATAAGAATCATATAAACCCACATGTTAAATTTGGATCTACTATCTGAGTCCAAAGCAGGAATTGTGTTCAGATTTTGAATATGTTGTTACTTATTTTGTGAAAGTATAATATAAGGCAAAGTATAGACAAGTTGAATCGCAAGAAAGGCTGCAAGTAAGTATTCCATGGTATAATAAGCTCTGCAAGACGTGTCAAATCTCTGATGGTATGAAGCCATGATGGGCTAAGGTGTTGTCAGAATCTGCTGGATGAGACTTATACCCTGAAAATTATTCATTCTTGAAATGTATGTAGAATCCTGAACATTTCTATTGGCCCCCAAATCAATGTCAAAGTCATCATCTACCAGAACTAGAGATTTTATATCGTATACTGTATCCTCTTATTTATTCAGTTTTTCAATGAAATCTGGAGTGTTCTTAGAATCATATCTGTGGACGACAATCTATGATGAAATGATTAAAATGAACATGATACCCATGAATTTGCAGGATGCTTATTGTAGCAAGCAGATAAATATTCTTTATAACTATCAGCCTTGCAAAGGTACCCATCTGCGATCCAATGTCTTCGTTTGTCACTAACTAATCCAAATAGTTTGGGCTTGTTATAGAAATATGGTTTCAAGTAATAGTAGTCTTGATCATTGAGGTATAGAGACTCTCTCTATTGAAAGAAAGCAGATTAATAGGTCTCTCTCACGAAATAGACAAAAAGAAGTGATACAAAAGCTTTAAGATTCATGAGTTTGTTTATTATCTTTTTAAGTTAGTTTGATTAATTTACAAATCAGAATTTTAAAGATCAATCTAATTAAAGCTAATTTAAGTTAATATAAAAGTTTAGAGCTACTATTAATAATCAGGTTAACAGTAATATAGAAAAAATTTTAAGTGGTATATAGTTTTGCAAATTATGATTAAAATATATGATATTATAGTAATCAAAATCAAATTAAGATGAATATATCATTAGGCAAATGAAGAGCCTACTGATTCTACTATTAGAGCGTTTTCATCTTCTCTCTCTGCCTTTCCAAACTTGCTTTCAATCTTTAGTCTCTTCTTTTCCTCTATTCTATGATCTATCCACTTACTTGGATAGAATACCACAGCAAAGGCAAAAACTAAAATTGACTGTAATAGTACTTGAACCATGTAAAATATCAGCTTTGCCTAGTCATCTCTTATTATGATTTAGATACTGGCTGCTGCATTTATTAAGAAGTATATAATTGCTGGGACTCTCGAAGCTCTATTAAGTTGACTAAATAATGAAATCTTACTTTATAACGTTTTAGAGTTTATATAGAAGGATTTTAGCTTATTCACTAAAATCATCAGATGCAGCGATATCTTCTTCTATCATGTTTGATGATTTTTAAGTTATGATAATCTGAATGACAAGTGCTAAAATCTATACTGGAACATTCCAAATTCTTCCCATCCAGTAGTCTATTTTATTCTTTTCATCATCAAGTAAGCTAAAAATCATCTGGAATGCGGAGCAAGCGAATATTATGAGGAACACAATTGCTAAGTGGCAATTACTAAGTTTTGAGGTAGTTTTTCTGAACTTCATGTAAATACCGGAAAGATATATTATTCCTAAACCTTGCATGGCTTAAGTGCATGGATATATCAAAGCCATCTAAACAGTAAGAATACGCTCTAGAGATGTTTGATAAATAAAATTTTTCCAAGGACAAACAAAATAGAATAAAAGAAAAGAAACTGATTAGATGGCAGTCATACTTAATATTCCTCTAAGCATATGCTTAATTTTTCTTAGGTTTTTCTTAGCAAATACTTTGATTTCTTTATCTTTAAAAAATCTTCCTGGCTATCTGTGCCTTATAACTTTACTTGCTCTATAGATGTAAGTAATTCTAACAACCACAGTAAAGGAGATAATAGGTATGAGCAAGAATATCATAAAGTTAAACTGATCACAATCTGAAATGTATTCATGTATAATCTAGACCTCATAAAAATCAACTGCCTCATAAGAATACCTCTTTCCCACATGCTATTACTCTACTTCTAATCTAAGGGAACCATTCACTTTATCCATTATTTTTTCAAATGTTTTAGAATCTAAACGAGCTATCATACTCGGATTTTCAACATGAGGAGATAAACCTAGGTCATAGTTAAAAACCATGCCTAAGAGAAGAAATCCCTTGACTTGCTTAATCCATTTTTCTTTAGAGTTAAAAGCCTTTATAAACTCTGTTGTATATTTTACTTCATGCTAATGTATTATTACCTAGGGCAATAAATAAGTTGAAATAGCTACTTACCCAGTCATAAGTTTCCTTAAATTTAAAGCATCTTGTTTTGAACTCCTCATAATTTTTAACTGAGCACAAATGAGCTGTAAAAGTCTTATTTTAGTTATTCTAATTGTAAAAATTTAAAGAACATATTAAGGATATATTGCAAATCTTACCTAAGCTACTCCCTCATAGGGTTACAGCTCGAATTCATCATCATCTATCTTCATTACTTCCTTGACTTTATGAAAATTCCAAGAGTTCACCAGATTCAATTGCAGTAATAGAATCAAGAATAGGATATTTTTAAAAGCTCCTATTTCTCTCATTTTATATAATATTTCTAATTGATTTTACCCTTTCATCATCTGAAACTTCTGGGGTTTTGGGGTTTTGGGGTTTTGGGGTTTTGGGG